TCTCTCTCTCTCTCTCTCTCTCTCTCTCTCTCTCTCTCTCTCTCTCTCTCTCTCTCTCTCTCTCTCTCTCTCTCTCTCTCTCACGCACGCGCGCGCGCGTGTGTGTGTGTGTGTGTATCGTTGTACTATTTGCTAAATACACATTCAAACAAAAAGCATCCATGTGACAGGTGGTTTCGTCTATAGGACCTCGCCACACCGAGGAATCAGAAAGTTGAACATCTATAGGGGCCTCGCCACACCACTGTCGCAACGGAAAAAGTATGAGTGTGTGTTCACACAGAGAATGGCAAGATGCATCCGCCACATCCAGCATTATGGATAGTAGCGGATGCATCTGGCCAGTTTCCATTACTTTTGTTTTCGTCTCGGCAAAGGTGTGGTAAGGTCCACAGTCTGTCCGGGGAGGATGCACCTGACTGATGTCGACAAAGTTAAAAAAAAAAAGAAAAAAAACACCACCTCACCCGGAGGTCACAATGTGTCCAGGGAGGATGCACCTGACTGATGTCTTCAAAGTTCGAACACACCACCTCACCCAGATCGATACCCACACCCACACACCCACACAACCACACACCCACACACCCACACACCCACACAACCACACACCCACTCACCCACCTACCCACCCACCCACCTACCCACCCACCAACCCCCTGACAGACACACACACAGACAGAGGTCGAGTTGCTTCTTGCCCTCCACCCTTTTATGGATCAAATGAATATATGTATATATTGTATATATGTATATGTGCAAAGTGTGCCGCTTCGGTGCCAGACGGGTGTGTGGGCACTTGGCGCTGAACCACTCAAGCGTGGCCAACCTTCCATTTTCTATTAGATTGTCTATCTATACTTTTTCGTTATGGATGGTTTGTCATGATTTGTGGACGAAATGAGAGCGAGAATTTGCGATGCTTTAACAACACACAAAGAGGTCGAGTTTATCACTCTCTCTGTGTGTGTGTGTGTGTGTGTGTGTGTGTGTGTGTGTTGAGGGGTGGGTAGGTGGGTGTGTGGGTGGGTATGTGTGTGTGGGGGTGTCCTTTGGTAATCAGGGGTTAGATGTGGGTTGACTACGTGGCACTTACACATTTCTTGTTTTGCTGTTGAGTGTGCGTCCTCCGACTCTGGAGAGCCGAAGAGAGTTGGCTTTTTGCGCTCCCTCGAGTTTGTTGGTGCTGTTTGTTAGATCTTCAGTTGAAGAACGAGTTGATGATTAGTGCGAGTTTCTGAAGCTGTATTTCGTCCCAGGATTTCGCATGGTTCCTTCGTGATGGTCTATATGCCCCTTGGTGTTGATCTGACGTGTAGCTCATAAACATTTCGTGACTGCTTTGGCTGTATCTGTACGTTATTGTGGACCTTATGGCACACAGATCTTGACCAGACCAGTAACGTTTGATGTCATTGCTACACTTAACCTCAATGGAGATTACCTCAGTGATGCAATAGCTGCACAGGTGAGTCTCTCTCTCTCTCTCTCTCTCTCTCTCTCTCTCTCTCTCTCTCTCTCTCTCTCTCTCTCTCTCTCTCTCGCGCGCGCGCGCGCGCGCGCGAGCGCGCGCGCGCGCGCGCCCTCGCTCTGTGCCTTCTTCACTCAGTACGCTGTGCCAGCCCCAGCTGGGTGTCAGCCCAGTGGGGAGGTTATGTACTGGCTTCCATGGTTGAGTGATCGTTCTGCATCATCCTGTTAGCCAGACCATTTTGGGCGTCTGCTGGCATCTACTCTGGACCTCGTTATGTGTCGAACCTGGTACCTTGTGCACAGATCCAGGTCGATCATACCTGGTGCTCGGTTGAGTCGAATACCAGTCGATCATACCTTCAGGTTCTATGTCTATCATTATCCTGTCCAGATTCCACACTCTTTGTGCAGTTCATGGTTGGTTTCACACTGGGCCAGTACGATTCCCTGTGGGATTTGTGGTTGCGCCCTGGTTGTGCTCGTATCATCCTTCACCTGACTGGCCCCAGGTAATTCAGAATTATTCGTTATTCTGTTCCTCTGATTGCATCTGGATCTGAACTTGGGTCTGATTCATATTTCAACAGTTGATGGGCGTACCAACTGCGCTATGCCCGTTGTGCTCGCCTTTTCTTCTCTCATTCTGCCTGTGGTTTACACATTTGTCTCCTCCCTGCTACTCGAACGTCAACTCACACAGTTTGAAAAGACTCCGTAGTAGTCTCAACTCTCAAGGTAAAAGGAAGGACAAGATAGAATGTTCCCACGGTAAAAGGAAGGACGAGAAGAATGTAGGGTTGAGTGCCACGCGCCAACACGACTAGCTGGGCTGGTACTCTCATCAGCTCTTGAAATAGAGACCTTCATCAGTTCACATCCACATGGAAATATCAAATCCAAATGCCCTTGCCCCCTGCCCCTCCACCTCCCTCCCTCACCTACCCCCCCCCCCTCACCTTCTCGCCTGGTGGCTGGCAGACCGATGTAGTTAATGCAAGGTTGTTAACGAAGCGATTTGCGCTAACTCTCTATTCATTGTACTTTATTCATTGAATGCATGTGTATGGCTTTGTTTTTCATTGTCTTGGTGTGCAGGTTGGAGGTATTGGCATTGCCCCGGGAGGGAATATAAACTACCAGACAGGCCATGCTATATTTGAGGCGACACACGGCACTGCACCGAAGTATGCTGGCCAGGTATGGAGCATTGATACGTGACAGAGAGACTTTGAAATTTTTTTATTTTTTTGGCATACTCTGTTTGGGAAGAAGATACAACATTATGGTAATCCATATGGGGAAAACACAAAGTGAAGGGGAAGTCGTTGATGCCGAACTGCAATTGAGGTTAAGGTGGATTATCATTCGTCAGGTGACTCTGCAGACTGTAGAGGGCTCAGCCTTCTTCTTCTTCTTCTTCTTCTTCTTCTTCTCTTCTTCTTCTTCTTCTTCTTCTTCTTCTTCTTTTTTCTCTTCCTGGAGATATAGGGGCCTGCTTGCCTCTTGGGTGGTGACTTCCAGGCTGCGCGGCCATTGCTCCAAGCAACCGGTACCTCCTCCCTTTCGGAGGGAAACATCATTGCAGAGTCTGACATACATCGCTTGTACAGGCCCTAGACTCAGAGTACTTGGACTGGTACCCGCCTAGAGTCCTAGACCTATAGCCTACAACTACCGGGCCTCTAAAAATGCCGACTTTTGTCGTCTTCTGCTTGGCCCCGAGTACCCGACACATCTACCGCTACTTGGCGTGGTACCGGCCTACCTGCCACTTGAGTGTTTTTCCTTGCTCTAAGTACCGCGGGGTCCCCCCACTGGAGTGTTTTCCCCGCTGCAACTGCAATTAGGAGGGTTAAACCACTACCGTCTTCACCTGAATAGAACGCCCGGTCATTATAGCTGTACCTTGACTGGAAATTGCACCAGATATGGCTATAATGACCGGGGTTTCTATTCGGTTTAAACCACGAGTACACAGCCCCGACCTTGCAGTTCGGAACCCACTCGAGTGGATAGAGTAAATGTTACATCTTCGACGCACACGGGTCCTACCGGACCCGACTTAGGGCCGGAAGGACACATCAGGGCCTAAAGGCCCGACCTTGGGGTATCACAGGCCCTAAAGGTCTGATCTTGGACCAGTACCCGACGGGCAGGCCCAAACGGCATTATCGTTTGGACCTGGCGGCGCTCTTGAGGCTGCCGCCCGCCGGTTGGGGCTGAACCGTCCATCTGGAAGGTTCAGGGCATGGCCAGGCCTCGCGGCATTGAGGCCGGCCTCTGCCCCACCGGTATAAGTACCGGTACAGCCTCACTTGGAGGCATCGAACCACCGGCACTCTACCGGTGCGTTATGGTC